CTGCAATCTTTCTAATCAGTCGCGTTTCAGGAAAAGAATGGAAAGTTTGTGTCCGTAAGGATGTTGGTCTTCCGAAACTTACATGATGCGCGGTATCTGCAATATTTTTTTCCCACAGAGCTTATATTGTGATGCCGATCTCGCAACAATGTCATCAGCAAGAAGTTCATTACTTCTGACGCCAACATTTACGAGTAGGCACCAGAGTACAGGCCTCCTGATTCCTTCTAAATGTCTCATTTAATTACCTCAGAACGGTGACAGATGAATGGACCCAGCCGAGATTCGAACGCGCCCCGGTCCTTAACTTTTCCTACCTAAATGACCATGTTTACAGTCTTTAACGGGATTGGTTTTCGACTGAACCCGCCAGTCATCATCAATCAAATGACTGTCGTTTGTGGAGAGGATAGACCAGCAAGGCAATATTAAGCAGCTAGGCATGAATCGTAGTTGAACAACGATGGATTTGAATTCCGGCCGATCAACTGTTTTAAACCACTGGAGGTATGAGGCAAATGAGCACAACTATGAGACAGAGAAGCAGAGGATTATATACAGCAGTGCTCAAATAGCTATAGAGATAAGATTAAAAATAAACCGACGCACTTCTTACTGGCGGTGTTAGAGGAGATCAGCGCAACAAACAGTATCTACCATGGAAGAGTATGCGACAGAAACGTTCAAAAACTGCCGTTCTTTCTAACACCTCGGGAACCTTGTACGATATCACTGAGCTGCGGATTCATCGATGAAACATTCGTCTCTGGAATTTATTGCACGAGTTGAAATGAACGGGATTAAAACCTACGATGCTACGACCTTCAGTTCGGCACTCACTCACTGCTACCTCTTTCCTTTGTTGAATTTATTGACCATATAAAGTCAAGCTAGCAGTTCCCTATATAGGCGCAATATTCTGAATTATTCTAAAAAGTTGGGAAGCTACATTTTAATGAATTACAGTAAGTTACACCATTCGTTATCCGACCTATGCTCGTACGGTTGCACTTTGAACGCAAGTCGACGCTCCCCTAATATTTCCCATTTCCCCCTGTACGCCTCAACTGATAACCAAGAAATTTGACAGTCTGATCATTCCAGCGTGTTTTTCGACGACCAAGTGGAAATTTGTGGTCCAGAGGAACACAGTCTGAAATTTTAGAAGTCTATCGGTTGCATCTCAAGCAAACCACATGACCGGCTCATCTTCTCTAGGCGTCAAATAAAGCAAAAACCACATGTTAATTCAGTCCACTATCGAATCTCTGCGTTTAGAACATGATCTCTGAGCTTGAAAGGGAGCTTGCACAACCTTCACTTCATCGCTACGATCAGTTTGTTCGCATCGACTTTAGTAGCATCCCATTCGGCGCTGTAGACCATGATGGGTGGGACGGTTGAAT